TTCCACGTCTCTCTCTCTCTCTCTCTCTCTCTCTCTCTCTCTCTTCCCCACACTTGATTCATCTTCGAACTCGTGCAATGTGAATGTATTTCACGATAGGGTGCGAGTTTTCCAGACGTTTGGGTGATTCATGGATAACGTTTGGGATGGGTGAAAGAAACATACATAGATAAGACGGGGTGAAGAAAGGGAGGTGTTGGGCGGAAGATTGTGCAACGTTGGGAGAGATCACCCTTGGAGAAGGGTGTATAAGAAGGAAGACAAGAGAAAGCGGGTCGTTGCAGGATGCAATTACGGCCATTTAACGAAGTTTCGAGATTAGCCGCGGACGCGGAGTTGGGTGCTCGCGTTTCATTTAGTTTCGGAATCCATTATCCTTTCACCCATTCCTCCCGCCTTAACCTCACCTCCTCCACGTCCCTTTACGTTCCTTCGTTTCCTAGCCGTGCCCGTCTTTGTCACCGCGGCTTGAATGTCATCCGATGGATTCCTCGATAACTGTGTCTAGAGATGGGAGGCGATGTTGGGTGTACCAGAAAGGAGATAGATGAACTTTTGACTCGACCTCCTTCCTTACGGGTACGCTTAATTATTGTGGAGCCAAGGGCAAAGGTTTGTTGGTTAAGAGTAAACTAGCCAAGTTCAAACTTTTTTTCCTTTTTCATACATTTTTTTTTCTTTCTTGCTCGATTTTTCCGCAGTTTTTTGATTGCTTAGAGTGATATAAATACGCTTTTCTATATTATCGTTACATAACCGTTTTACAAAAATTTATTAATAATTAAAGCGTTTAAAGTTGCAAACATAACATATAGTATTTTTATTGTTTTATATAGCTATATAACATATAGTATTTTTATAGTTTATCCTAGCTTTATTAGTTAACATATTCGAGATTGGTGATTTGTACAATGTGTGTGTTATGGCCATTTCCTATTCTATAGCAGTCGCGTCATAAAGTTTCCTAAGAAATATAAAAGATGAAGAAGAGTTTTTTTCTACGTATCAGATTTTTTTTTTTTTTTGCATACGCGTTCAGTGCAAGTGTTGTCGTCGATAAGCACACCCATTTTGAATTTCGTTACATTTTTCGTCGTTTCACAACTGTTTTTTTTTGTATTTATCGAAAATCAATATGTGCCATTCGAAAACCCTTTCGATTCGATGATCGACAAACAATCGATGGTCGATTTTATTGTATAAAAAAAAAAAAAAAAAAGAAAAAGAAAATCAATCACTTTATTTCTCTTTACCTCAATCTCTTCTACTCTTAGCCTATCCCTAAAATAATTAATTTATTTTATTTATCCACGTCCACGTCACAATATTTCAACTTTTAACCAGACCTTCTACCATCCAATTCATAACCGTCAATGTCTATATCTCGGTCTATCCCAATATAACCCATCGCTGCCAATATTCCAATCCACGGCAGGAATCGAGAGGGAAAACAAAGAAAGTACACTACGCTTTCGCACACGTGTTGTCATTATCGATCACGCGCGAGAAAGGGGAGGGAGGGAGAGAGAGAGAGAGATAGTAAACGAAATACCGGCAACGAACTAAAAGCGATAAAGTTGATCGATGAAATTCCTAACGCCTCTTTGTCTCCATCAACCGGGACCTGACACGAAAATCCATCGGCCGTGTGCGTTCACAGGGACAGAGGTTTCCTGATATAATCTGTCGCGCTATTACATCACCAACGATCGACTTTTGATGTTCCCCTCGATGAAATTAACCTCGCAAAGATAGCTTAAATCGATTACCAAAGGGATGGCCGCCTCCGTTGAAACGTTAATAATTATCCGGACGCAGCACTTAAGGACGATTATCACCGATAGCAAAGGCTGAAATCGTTATTCAACTTCGGTTCAACGTCCGTTTTTGCGGAACTCTACGTCCAATCCTTGATCTCTCCTCCTCGTTTCGTGGTGGGGAGGAGGACGAAGCGCGCGAGAATCGTCGGGCAAAACTTTCGCGAGATTCGTGCTCGAGTTGGATATAATTACGAGTTGCGGTGACGAATCGGCGTACCACTGGTAAGTTTCTCGTGTATGCGAACTTCTGTTCGACAGAGTGGAGACGCGCTGTGGAAAGATCGAATGATAGAAACTGCCTTGTGTCCTTTCAGGTTATGTTGTACAGAACGCTTCAGAGATAGTGTAGTGTATAATAGAGAAAGATCGAACAATGAAAGCTGTTTTGCGTTCTTTTAGGTTATGTTGTGCAGATAAAAGAGAATTATTTAACAGAATGACATATATTGTGGAAAGATCGATACTGTCTTATACCCTCTTAGGTTATGTCGTATAGAGCGCTTCAGGGATAATGAATGTATAATAGAAAGACCGAACGACGAAAATTATTTTTTATTCGTTTAGATTAGGTTAGATTGTGCAGAACGTTTCAGAAATAAATAAGAAAGGATTATTTGATAGAATAGAGGTGTATCGTGGAAAAATCGAACGATGAAAACTGTTTTATGTTCTTTTAATTTATATTGTACAAAGATTCAGAGATAAAAGGAATTGTTTGATAGAATAAATATGTATCGTGGAAAAATCAAATAATAGAAATTGGCTTGTGTCCTTTTAGATTAGATTAGATTGTACAGAGCGCTTCAGAGATAAATGACAAAGGATTGTTCGATAGAATTGAGATGTGTTGAAAGATCGAATATACAGTTATTTTGTATCCTTTTAGGTTACGTCAGGTTGTATAGAATGTTTCAGAAATAATGGAGGATTGTTTGATAAAATAAAGATATATCTTGGAGACTTTGTTCTTTTGTGTTAAGTTGTAAAGAGGAAGTAACAAGTGATTATTCATATATTGATTCTTATGTTGAAACGCTTGTACAGAGCGTTTCAGAAATAGCTAAACTTATGAATAATAAGAAATTATGATTTTTATCAAATAGATTAGAATTCTAATTCACATTAATCGTGCAAAAAAATTTCTTTTCCCAAAAATGTGCATTTAACTGAAAACAATATCAGATCTCCCCCTATCTCCGCGTTCACAAAACATCCAAATTCGCATCATTATTCTCGAACAAGTGATGCCCCCCTATGGACATTTACGCGCGGATCCAATCGATCGTTGGTCATTCTCATAATAGCATCGAGGCATCAGGTCGAGACATCAAAGTGGCCAAGTGGAATTAATATTCCCCTGTACTGCCATCGCTAAATCGAATCTCACAATGGATGTGCCTCGGTATAATTCGGCAAACGATCGACATGTTCGCTCGTTTCAAAAGCTACGGTCACCGATTCGATCGAAAGGACAGAATCGAATGGAAAGTTTTTGGACGGGGGATGAGGTTATTCGTAGCAATTTTGCTTCCATATCTGAAATTCAATTTCCTCGGGCCAAAAGCTGTCGCGGGGGAAGTCTGTCATCAATGGCGGCGCGTCATGGGGCGCGAAAGGGAGAAGAATGGAGGATGGAACCGTGGAAAAGGCGTGTCCTCGCCGATTTCACTGACCTTGAAACGTATTGTTAACCCTTCAATCGCTCTCTGGAATAATTATAATCGAACGAACGCTAAACGATATTTCTCTTCCGCTGAATTATTTGCATCAACATATTATACAATTTTGAAAAAAGTGTTCAATTTAACTACATTTTGAACAACTTTTTCCTATATATTTTTAACAATAATCTTCGATTATATGCACAGAAATCAAGATTTTAGAAACAAATGTGAATATTCTTCGACGTGCGATCGAATCGAAAATATTATACTTGACTAAAAATCGGATGATCGGTAAATTCGTCGCGACGAAAAGATTAAAAAACGATCCAAACTTCCGAACGATGGATATCATCTGCACGGGAAAAACTTTTTTCACCGAAAAAACTTCATCGAAATCACCGACGACGATTCACCTCCCCAGCATAACATCGACCTTCGATCGACCGGCGTTCAAACGTTAAAACGTCGCTTAAAAAAATATATATGTCGAAACTTGGAAACTCGGAACCTCGGTGACGCTTCAAACCACCGTGAAAGCGGCTTCAAAGAGTCCGATTAAAGAGTCTGAGTAGGACGATCGAGGAGGCGTCGCGACTCGTTGTACACCGTTGTCTCCCTTCCAACAATTTGATGGAAAGTTTCGAGGGAGGGAGGGTGGAGGGGGGCAGGGCGAGTCCCGAAAACGAATTCGCTCGATGGAGGGGAGAGGGGGGAGGGGAGCAAAGTTTGGGAAACTTAGGCAACGATGAACGCTTAATATTTCACGGGGAAGTCAGGTGAACAAAATTCGATAATCGATACGGATGACACGGTTAAGGGTTCATTGGCCGTTGTGTTCCATGCTCGTCGCTCTCTCTCTCTCTCTCTCTCTCTCTCGTTGAATCTTTCACAGGGGGAGTGGGTGGGGGAGAGTTGGGTGCTTTTGTTTCGTGATCAATGAAATTGCTGTAACGGTGTTAGATCGTAAGGGAGGGGGAGGAGGGGCGAGTTTGTAATTTAAACAGGGGAAATGTGATTTGAGTTTGTTTGGACGGGAAGTTTGAGTTGGATGAAATGTGCGATGTGGATTTGTAAGGAGTGATATGTTCTTTGCTCGATGGAAAAGAGGTGTATGAAAGATTCGTTCGTGGTAAAATTGACTTTGACAAAAGTTTCTCGTCGTTGAATCGTCGGATGGGGGGGGGGGGGGCGTCAGTACATTTTGTCAGTGCTGTGTTGCGAATGAAATTTGTAAAACGAGTCGAAGATAAGGGATTAAATGTGTCGTTGAATAATATTTTTTATGCATAAGAAAGAATATAAAAAGAAGAAATTTTTGGTATTGAAGAATTGGTATAATTGCGATTTTAGCAATCGACAAATAAACAATACAATTTTTGCATAGAAAATGTTTCTTCCGAAATTTGACGAGTTTCCAAATTACGCAATGAAATCTCAACAAGAAATCATTATTTTCTTTAAATGATATATCGATGTAGATATTATTCGTTTTATATTAGGACAGGGAAGTTGAAACGTTATAAAGGAATAATTTCTTGAAAGAATTCTCGTCTATGGATAGTCGGAAACCAGATGATCGGTGAATGTATATATCATAGTGTGATCCATTCACTGGTGAAAGTATACTTGTAATTAATGAACGTTTTGAAACGTTGAAATATGATGTAAGATTTCTTCATCGTCTTATAACTTAAACTTACTTTTCCCAATCAGGAGAAAAAAGTTTATATGTTTCTTTATATAGACACCTATAACACTTGTAATTTGTGATTGAACAAATTTCAATAATATTAAAATAATATTAATTATTGTTAACGAAAAAATCAAGAATGCTTTCACACAAATAAAATATCGTATAAATCAATTTTATACAATATAACAACTGTAATAGCTATAAAACAGCAATAATTATTATTATAATTAACGTAACACTGCCATTACTCTAGAGATCCCTAGGGATCCCTAGAATTGTCACTAATCATTCTACGACGAAAAAACCAGAACGATCAATTTTTTAAAATTTTCCTCTTCCTTTAAATGCAAGGAACGATAATATTCTTTGAATAGAATTGTATAAAAGGAGAATTTGTTAAAATACACTATCTCAAGAATGTCGTTTACACGAGTTCGAGTCGAAAATCCGACCAAGAGCATCGAACCGACATTAGCTAGCTGACTTTTGGCAAGTTCGGTGGGCAGATTAACGATTCCAGTGGAATTCTTCTGCAAACCCGCGGAAGTGGCGGTAAACTTTTATCTTTGCATGCAAGAAAGTTTGGGGGACGCACGTGGCGCGATTACGGAAAGGGCCGCCATCACTGTTCCAGTATTGCCCCCTGCCGTCGTCCGTGGGAAGCTCGCGCATCTAATATATATAGCCGCTAATGCAAAACCCATAATTATCACAGGCGTAGAGAGAGAACCCTAAAGTGATGTTCCATTAACCGCAAATGGTCCAACCCGAATTTCTATTTCAGACTGGAACTCGGCGCTATTTATCATTCTGAACGGTACGAAGGAGGAGCACTTGGACATGCTGGACGGTGGTATTATTCAGCGATTACTCGAGGAAAAATGGAAGACCTTTGCGCGGGTAAGTGCGTCCACGTGACAATATTCTCGTCTATCTATCCTTCCTTTACCACCCATTTTTCACGAATTCTTCCCTGGTCGGAACCACCATCTTCGCTCGAGGAAAACAATGGTGTCCATTAGACCGTTCTAGGAATTCCCCACGCTTAAAGAATTTAATTGATATTTTCTCACCGGAGAAAAGAACGGATCCAATTTAATAGGCGCATAAAATTGAGGGGGAAAATATGTATTTCGTACGGTGAAGAAAGAGTGTTTTTTTTTTGTGTATATCTTTTTTTATTCCATATTCATGAAAGTACTAGCGAATGATAAAAAAATTTAATCGATATATATATATATGCGCGCTAAATACAACGATGTGCAAGTATTTTTTTGTAGAAATTTGAGCGATTTATACAGCGATTTCACGTGATCTTGTTTTTGATATAGGGGAAACTAGAATTTAGGTAACTAAGATCTATGTACATAACCTATATATATCCTTATTTTTTTCCTGCGTTCATAGTTGCATTATTTATCAGCATAGTTAATTTGCTACTACCTATCATTCTGGTTCGATATCGACATAAAGTATCGATATCTATCGAAAATGAAGTTATACACAGTTGACTTCAAAATCCATTTTCTAGGAAATGAAGTCTTATTTTAAGAATTTTATACTTACTTTTTTTTCTTTTTCTATTTCATATATACTAAAATTTAGGTGATCTTTAAACAACTTAAGGAATTGTTGCAACAGAGAAAAGTCGACTTGAATTAACGCTTTTTAAATGTACTTAAATTTAATTACACGGAAGGGGAATGGAACGGAGAACATTGCTTATATTAAATTTATCAGAATAGTAAAATACATTACACAACATATCTTACGTACTTATATCCGATAAACTGTTTCATTAATTTATTCTCGTTACATTAAAACGGAATAATTTAAGAGAAAATAAAAATTTTGCAAAAAAAGAAAAAAGAAATTATTAATTTATTCGAATCAAATATCGAGTCCTCCTATTACATTCAACCAATTACCTTTATCTTTTTTCTAACATCGTCTCCTTCATTTCGTATTTTATTAATTTCTAAATTCAAATTCAAAATCATCAATCCAATTTACATTAACCACATTTATCTTCCCGTATTCGTTCAATTAAATTCTTCGACAACGCCAAAAGCCGTCAAACGCCGAATCATTAACGTCCTTCTCCATCATCGAAAATATTCACAACCAAGTACCCATAGCAGACGCTAAAATCGTCCATTCCCTTGGAAATTTTCCCACCCTCTCACGTACGTCGACTCCCCTCTCCCTCCCCTCCCCTTCCCCAGTAATCGCGCAATTATAATTGGATGTTGGCACGCGTCAAAACTGTCCTAATTGGTCGTAGAACGCGCGTGAAGAAATGTGTTGAACGGAAATTTTCGCCGCGTGAACACTCGCCGCCCGATTTCAAAATCGTCCCGTTTCGGTGATTATCGAGTGACGTCGAGTAGACGTTGGAGTGACTCGGTGAAAACGATTGTCACTCGCGTGCTCGACAGCGAATCGAGTGGCATCGACAGGGTTATCCACGGTTTTGGACATTGAACGTAGGCGTGCGCGATATTTATTTCGATCGACCGCAGCGCCACCATCCAGCAACGAGATCGGCCAATGAATGATCTCGGTGGAACGACGATGGTCGTCCATGTCCGATTGATTCGTGAACACCACGGAGAGGCCGATAGCCCTTCGAAAAGAGCCTAATGAGCGGTTAATTTTTAAATCGGTGGATTTATCTCGACGATGATTTTTGGAGATTCATCTTGATAACGGAATAATGCTTGGTTTACGGTACGTTGATTATATACATGTTGTATTATATATTGTTGATCGGATTGTTTAAATTATATCTTTAAACAAATATGTAATGAAGAAACGTATCGATATAATTTGATGTATTATTTTTAATTTTGAGAAATTTTAATTTTATATCCATTAGCATAATAGTATTTTATACGCGTTCATTTTGCGTAATTTATAAGCTGCTGGATGTAAATTGATTTTATAAATTATCATAAAATTTATATTGTCCATGTTGTATCAATAATATCGTTATATGAATAATACATTATATGTTAATTCGAAAAAGAAATAATATAGTAGATTTTTTATTAACTCTATTAATATACAATTTAACGTCATATTTTTATTCTTCGAGAAAGAGAAAAAAAGGTATTAGTAAAATAAAGAGATTGAGGGAAAATAATTTTTACAAAATTAGTAGCGTGAAACAAACTTATTTCTCTTTAAATTTATTTCACTTGAAATTTTATAAATTGCGTATCATAGCTATACACGTATATTTTCGAAGCTTTTATTAATTACTTTAGCTAATTTCTGTTCAACTGTTATTTAAAGCAGCTTTCAAAACGTGCGGACAAAACGTTAAAAGACCATGGATACGTAGAATTTATTAAAAATTTCATATTTAAATATCACTGATTCTATTTTCCATATCGAAAATGAAAAAAGTTATATCGTAACCACCGATGCGAGCATTATTTTGAAAATTGTTTTTAATAAAAATAAAAAAAGACTCGGTCGAGATAACAGGAAATTAAAAAAAACAAAAAAAATGTACATGAATTTTCCGAGAATTTTGCTTTCAATTTTTCCATCGTTCAAGTTTTTTTTAAGATCATCTAAAATTGTATTTTTTGTATCTTATATATACTTTTAATTTTTATTCATTACTACAATTATTAAAAAAATCTATGGTAATAGATTATATTAATTCTATTTACAAAATTCTAAACGAGATGATAAATACTCTAGATTTACTTCATTTTACTCTATCATTATACTAATGAACAACTACTATTATACTATATACACATACACACACTATATACTATCTGTTACTGCTGTATATATATAAAGTATAGAAAATAAATTGATTCATTGTTATGAACATCCACTTGTAACTTGTAATGGAGTTAATGGAACATCCTGTACGAGTATGGAGAAACATTATAATGGTATAGCCATCCATGACGTATCCCACTTATAGTACTAATCACGACCACGTTTAAACCACATACAAGCGTCAAATGACCAATTATATCATGATACTGTACACAGAGATTAGCACGGTGTAATGTAATTAATCACGAAGCATATTTGATGGTAACACGTCATTAGACCAACTTCACGGATGGTCGAGAATATGTGATACTTGAACATTTGCAAATATCTCGTATAATACGTTAATTGAAATAACGCAATAACTTAACCTAATCGACAGTTTGTTGTTTTGTTCTTGCAAATTTTGGGATTCCCGTTTCGACGATTCATAGCGTAGATATATTAGACGAATTATAGGTTATGTTATGAATAACAGCGATAACGAATATATTCAATAAAATGACAGTCAAAAAAATACTTAGGTATTGTAAGGTTTTATAAGTTAGATTTATTAGATTTATTTTTTTTTATTTTAATCTTTAAATTTTATATGTTTCAGGAATTATATAGAAATACGAATACTTATAGGAATATTTAATTGCAGATAAACATAGAATATCTTACAAATAAAAATAATAACGTAAAAATTAAGCGACATACCAATTTTTGTTCAATTTCTTAACAACTTAACCTCTATTTTTCCTCAACTCATTCTAACTTTAACTCGGTTAACGCATATATTTCTTATCTTCGTCCATAATCATGCACATTCTTTTTTTATTTCTAGTGCAACTATTTATGAAGCACACTTTCTTTTCTTCATACTTCTAAAAAAGTAAAGAATTTGATATTTATCAAATCTACCTCTAATCTGATCATGCAATTAAAAAGTATAGAACAATTCTATAAATATCACTTATATGAAAGTTGCAGTTTTTAAAACGACTAATCATCTTGGCATTCCATCTGACGTCCTTGTCGCTGGCAGTGTACCTGAGACCTTCCAACACAGATGCTCAACTCTTGAAATGGCCGGAAGAAATCACGGAAGTCGCACGCACGATCGCCGAGTGCATCACGGTGCTAGGCGTGCTCAGTTATATTCTGGTCCAACTAGGTGGCGAGATCATCAACATTGGTCTCCTGTCCTTCATGAAACAGTTGGTACGTGAGGATTTCGTTTCCTGGTTCTGTTCATCCTGTCAGTTGTGAAAGTAAAGTTGCATTCTCATCGAAGTAACGAGAAATTGTATTTTAATAGCAAATCGCACTATCGATATCCAAGAAATATAACAAAAGAAATATTTGAATTCTACTTGAGATTTTTTGTTACAAGGAATCTATAGACATTGGTGTGTTTCATATATAATAGTTTATAACCTAATTGATAACTTATAAATTTGACAATTTATTCTATATATAATTAACTTCTTTTATGCACTTTTCCCATTATAAAATAAATTAACTTTTACAGATATTTTAATAAAATGATATAAAAATTAAAATGTGTAATCAGATAACAATTTGTACAAATTAAAGAAATATTTGTTTTTATTTTTATAACGTATGTTTAAATGAATATTCAATAATTTAAAATAGAAAGAGAACTAAATAACTACTTTCGATTGGCAATAGATGAAGAAACTTTCGAGAAACGTTAATAAAAAATTCCTCCTTGTTACTTCAGTGAGAAAGAGGCTTTACACTCTAGCAGAATGCTTTCATGACCTGCTATTTCGTGGCCTGATATCTCGCATGGATCGACGGAGGCAATTTCGAATCTTCGAATCGCACCACGACTATTGGAGGTTGAGCAAACCGAACTATAACGGGTTACGAGTATAGTAGAGGAATAGAAGTATTTTGTTGTGAATGTAGTGCACTTTCATGTATGAACGATTCTTTTTTTTTTTCACTAGTTTGGTTGGCTAGAGCGTGTGCGGGATTTTAATCGTTAGTTTGATGGTACGTTTTATTTTTTATTGAAAAAAATTTAATTTTATTGCAGAATAAATTGATTGAATTCAAATATATTTTAAATATAATAAAAAAAAAAGATAAAAAAATGGAGATATAAATCATTTTGGGATATTATTTATTTTTCTAATTTCATTTTCGATGAATAAAAAGAAAATATAGTCTCAAGTTTAGAAATATATTGATTCAAAAGTTTAAGCCAACTTAACCTAATCTCAATTAACATATTTCGTAAGATCAAAGCAAAATGGAAATAGATTCGTCGTTCATGCCAACTGAAAGAAAAAAAATTGCATCGTTTATCTGGGAAGGCATTGTTCACGAATTAATTTCTCACTAACGGCCAAATTACTCGTAAATCGCACCACTCATTTAGCATTCTCGTACAGACGAATACGTAATTCGTAATTAGCCTGACTCGCTCAATAGACATTGAGTGTACGATATAATTAGGATGATGTGATATGCGATTGTATCGCGAGTTATTAATCGCGATCGCGTATCAACCATTCATGGAATCCTCGTAGAATCATTAAGAATTACTTCCCAAGGAATTTCGACTTTAAACTTTAGAACATAAAGTTACTATAAAGTTACTATAATAATTAATATATAGTAACATAAGCCTTGACAAGAACCTTATATAATATTATAATAATATTTCATATATATATATATATTTTCTAAATGTTTTTTAGAAAATTCTATTATCATTCAATTCAATAAAATCTCTACGTTGTTTCAAAAATAAAACAAAAATTGAATCTCGATTCACCACGAAGTGAGTTTGAAAAATTGTTAGGAATTAAAATTTTTGTAAATTTCACTTCTCGAAACGAAAAAAACAATGAAAAAAAATATTTTGAGAGCTTGTAGTTTCAAGACCTCGTAAAATTTTATTTCACCGATTCAAGTTTTGTAGAGGTGAAAATCAGATTTCGATCTAATTTTACTCATGATGCTTGATACGTCGTAAAGGTTAAGACGGAATTATATATATAAATATGTATAGATCATTTGGTTGGCGACGTAACGCGTTGCCACGTACCGAAATTCCATGGCGTAATATCGATTCCTCTGCGGGGAAGCCGTGAACCGTGCAAGAATACGCCTTTGACAGTTTCGTCTGCACATTTACCTTACAGAGTCACGAGCCCGCCAAGCTCATATTCTTGATCAGCAACCTGCTCATACTCGCGTGCATTCCATGTCGTCTTGCCGGTAATAGGCATGCGGAAGACGCGATACTCATAGTCGCTGTGCCCGGCTCTTGGTTCCTTCTCATGTTCTTCGCTGGGTGAGTGACGCACTGTATTCTTAATTGCTAGGGAATTTCTAATTTCTAGCCTAGGGTAATTCCAAGAGAAATGGATGGTGGAAATGATTTTTTTTTAAATATTATTACAATATATATATTTTTTTAATATTTTTGAATACAAGCATCGTAGATTAGAGCAATTATTTTTATTTTTTTAAAACGTAAATTATTTCTAAAAATTTTAGAGAAATTGTTAAATGATAAAATTTAAAAAGAATCTATATTTATCTCTTAGATTTACCCTATGTTTTAATCTTTAGAGAAAATCACTATAATATAATTTTCTTTGTAATGTTGTTTTCTTTATTATTAATTTTATTTATTTAATATTATATAAATATATTTACGTATTTCTTTACGTATTAGAGATACGTACATGTGATATTTTCGTGGAAAGTAGAAAATACATTAGGAAATTATATAAAGCTTCTTTGCTTAACTGATGAGCTGGTTGATGTATTACTGATGGATTACTTGTACTTCAAAACATGTTGCCCACAAATACTAATTACATTAGCGACAAGCAATAGAACGATTGCAACACATTTCAGATTTGTGAACTAATCTTTTACACGAAATAGAATTATTATATAGATTCTTATGGTTGAAAAGAAGAAGTCCTTTTCAGAGGGAAGTTCTCAGATTAATTTACTTTAATATATATTTCACGCTTATTTTACTTTCTGTATCTCTTCTGCGAGGCTCTACGATTAAATTGAAATTAATAAAAGAATTAAAATGAAAGGATAAAGAATTATAATTTTTTAAAATTATATTACAATTTAATTGAATTCTTCAAAATATTTTAATTTTGTTTAAAAATATATGAAAAATAGTAAATGTATATTTTTTTCTTATAAGTAAACATGTTAAAATTATTGGAAAATTATAATTTCAAATAGATTAACTTTATGCACTATATACATATTACTGTATTTTATTTGCATATTCTTCAAAACTGATTATATCGTAACGAATAAATTGTCGATTGGTGAATAATTGCATTAAAAATATTGACGTGAGTCATAGTCAACCTTCAACATTTATCGAAGAATGAAACATTGTAGCACAAGGAAAAAAGATAAGAATTCATCGTTTGACGTTAAAATTAAATTTAAAAAAAAAAAAAAAATTACTATAAAGTTTTAACATCAATTTAACTTTTATGCTTTATCAATAATTAAATTTTAATTATTTAATTTAATTAGTTTTTTTTTTTAATTTAATCTTGAATTTTTAAATTTCTCTCAAATTCATAAAATAAAGCAATTTTATACACTAATTTGATTCTATCGATTAATTTTATAAATTTTCATTTCTCATTTTTTTCTTTTTTTTTTTGTTATTCGTTTAAAATAATCGCATATCTTGTCCCCTTTGGCCATATTACCACGAATTCATCCACACTAGACATCCGTTGCAACAATTAGCCGCTAAAATTTCGCGTGTGACTGTTTCATTAATCGCGAAGGATTTACAAACGGAACATTTATCTAACAAGACTTAACTCTCTATGTGCTTCGTTAATAGAATGTGAATTATTAACGATATTACTTTTTGCTAATAACACAAGGGTTAACCACATTGTCCAATGAACGCCATTGAAATTCTCTTGGTGGTTTATTAACTTGGGGGAGAAAATATTCAGGAGAAAAATGATAAAAGAATGGCCGATAAGTGTTATAGCGCTTGGTCATGCAATATCGGTTACATTTATTACCAAGGAGAAATTTACCAAAGTAAGAAAATGTGGTTGTAAAAGACTTTAAATTATTCTAGAAAAATTGATCGAAGTGATTAAATATTAAAATATTTTAATCGAAATAATAAATTATTAACAAATTATTGTAGAAATTTTGAATAATAAATTAGACAAATATTGGTTTTCATTTTTAATAGGGTAATAGGATTAATTTTCATTTTGGAAATGGGAAATGATTTAATTTATATAATTCGAATAATTAACGATATAATTAAAGTTAGTAGTTTCTATGTGAAATAACTATGAATTATATTATGGATTTCTCGAATTATATGTAACGAGTATGTCATAGATTTAATCGATTTGTATTCAAAATTATTAATTTCATTGATAATAGCATGCATACGTTTGAATCGATACATAACATATACATTTATTACATTTATATTACAAGTCAAATATTTTGTTAATAATTGAAGGTTTTGATTACCCGATAATTCTAATTATATTATAATTCTATCAAATTATTCGATATAACTTTTGAAAAATAATAGGAAAAGATTACTCAAAGATTATTTTAATATAATTCGCAACACTGCTTAAAAAAATATATATTATTATTAAATAATACACACATATACATATATATTTATTCTAATAAGACAATGAATAGATAAAATAAAAAAATTAAATATTCATTATTGGATAAGTTATTACGTAAACTATTCCACGTAACTAATAAACGATTATTCGAAAAATTTATTATGTAGTTTTTCATATCTTTTCAATATTTTAGATTTTTTAAAAACTTTAAGAATAATTTAAGATAATAATTTATAAATATTTCTCCTTCATTATCTAAAATTGTTATAATTTTTAATATTGTATTCAATGAAATTTTAAA